CATATCAATCCATGTAAAAATCATCATAAAATGGGGGGGGGTGATTATAAGTTAAGCTTTCCAAATAGATTAGTCTGAAAAGCAAATACAAATTAATTAATTAATTTTTATGTGTATGAGTGTATTGTCTGCATCCATGTAAGAACACCCATGTAGTGCAATGCCCTTGGAGGTTAGAAGAGGGCATCAGATCCCTTGGAACTGAAGTTACAGTTGGAAGCCGCCATGTGGGTACTGGGATTCAAACTTGGATCCTCTGCAAAAGCAGCCAGTGCTCTTAACTGTTGAGACACTTCTCCAGCCCCGCAAGTACAAATTTATTTTAAGAGTGTCACACTGTAGCCTGGCTGGCTTCTAACTCTTGTCACTCTTCCTGCCTCAGCCTCCCGAGTGCTGGAATTATAGGTGTGTACCACCACACCTATCAATAAGTGCTGCTTTTTAGGCAAATAAGAGACGATCTTTTGGAGTGTAACCAAAAGAAATATTCTCCAGGGAAATAGGCTTTCTGTTTATCCAAATTCTGCATAAGTTAACAAAGAACAGGAAAAACCAGAGAAGGAATAAGTTAAGCACCTAGAGGTTCTCCAACAGGGGTTAACATTTGCTTTCTGGTTTACCAGTCAGAAATCATCCCAGGAAGAACTGTGTGCGGTGGTACAGGCCTATTATCCCAGCACTAGGGAAGTGAAGGCAGAGGGATCAACATTTCAAGGTCATCCTTCTAGGCAACATAGAGAGGTAGAGGTTAGTCTGGGACTTGTGGAAAGGATAGAAAGGTGTTTAAGAGTTGTTGCTCTCTTCTGCAAGTTCAGTTTCTAGCACCCACATCAGGTGGCTCACAACTGCCTGCAACTCCATCTCCAGGGTATCCAAAGCCCTTTCTGTTCCCTTGGACCCCTGAACTCACATGCATATACCCATACACAGACACATACATATACACATAATGAAAAATAAAAATAAATCTGAATATGATCAAAATACATTGCATGAAATTCTCTAATCAATAAACATATTTTAAAATAGATAAAATAAACCCTTGGATCCAGTGGATGAACCCACAGTGAAGGGCATTTGGGGACACAAGCCTGACTTTGTAGGCACACACACACACACACACACGAGTGTGTGTGTCTGTGGCTGTGTGTGTTATAGTAGAGTACAGAAAGTTGCTGGGAAGTTAGTTGAAGGTAGGTGCAGATAAGAGAGGGGATCTAAAAATGATCAAAACATTGTGTGAAATTTTCAAAAATTCAGTAAAAATCAAAGAAAAGAAAAGGGGGGAAGGAAGGAAGAACAAAAGAAAAGATCCCATGGTGAACTTTAGATAGCTCAGACTCCTTAAAGTATTTGCATGAAGAACCCTGGTTCTTATGCTCACATTCAGGTTTCATTCATTGAAACAAACCTGATAATAAAACTGCTTGCATCTTATGGATCCTTCTTAACCGTATTGCTTGTACAGTGATTTCACAGGCATTACATCAGCTACATCTCAATAACCCATCTACGTCACTGCCAGTGACATTTTCCCTATTTTACAAGTGAGCAAAAGGAATCCACAGGAGGCAATGAAGATCACAAAGAGTATGTATTGAATGGTAGGGCCAAGACACTAATGTTCTTACATTCCCAACCCAGGGTTTCTTCCACTGCTTTGTCTGCAGATCTGGGGTCACGGTGGTGTGGTGATCAAGGAAGACTAGGATACTACTTTCTTCTTTTCCATCCATTTTTCTTTCTAATTCTCTTCAGCTTCTGTAAGTTCAAGCTGCCGTAAAAGGCACTAGGTTTGATGTCAGGAGAATGAAATTCTAGTTTCAGCTGTGCCACTAGAGGCCGGCTGGTCTCAAATATGTGTATAACTTGTGCTCTTTGGGAATCAGCTGCTCCGCTATTACTTCAAAGTGTTTCATTTGATAATATAAAAATAGAATCACAGTATCTATCATTGATTTTTACAGTTATCCAGAAGTTTGGGATTGTAGCTAGGGTTTGAAGGGGTGGAGAAAGGGCCAGAAAAATGGAGTTATAATTCTTTCTTAATTTTTTTTAACTGGGGCTGGAGATGGCTCAGTGGTTAAGAGCACTAGCTGTTCTTGCAGAAGACACAAGTTCAAATCCCAGCACTCACATGGCGGCTAACAACCATCCATAACTGTAGTTCTAGGGGATCCGACACCCTCTTCTGTCCACTGAGGGCACTGCACGACATGGGTGCACTTACACACATGCAGGTATAACACTCATACACATAAAAATAAATTTTTACTTATGTGTTGCATGTGTGCCTCTGTGTCAGCCACATGTACTCATGTGCCTGTGCCAGCTAGAAGGCATTGGCTCCCCTATAGTAGGAGTAACAGGCATTTATGAGCTGCCAGATGTAGGTGTCAGGAACAGAACTCTGAGCCTCTAGAAAAGCAACAAATACTCTTAACCTTTGAGTCATCTCTTCAGCCCTTTATTTTGTTTTATTTTATTTTACTTCTCGAGACAAGGTCTTATGTAGCCTATTCTGGTCTCGAACTATCTATGTAGCTGAGGATGACCTTGAATTCCTGATTCTCCTCTCTCTCCTTCATTTCAGCATTCCAAGATAAAAGGAAGCAATTCTAAAAGAATAAGAGAAAAATAGATTTGTAAATGTTTAAAGTAATATTTAGGTTGTGGAATTAAGGTAAGCAGAGCTAGATTCTTCCATTTAAGACTCTTTCTTGGTCTCTTAGAGGGCATTTGAGATATGAGTTACTTCTGAAAATTCAAACTATTTTGGTTTTTTGTTTGTTTTGGTGAAAGTAATCAAATTGTGGGATAGACACTGTGGTAAGAACCACAGTAAGAATAAATTTAAGACTCTCTCATGTACCTTTAGTCCTGCATACTTCGAAATGACTGCTGATACCCACTGTGCTGCAAAACAAATAATTTGCTGTCCTATTGGACAACAGATTCCAACAGGAATCTGAGCCAAAACTGTGTGAAAGTTCAAATGTGGTCAGGGATTTTTTTTTTTTTTTTTTTTTTTGGCTCAATGTGGCAGGGTTGGTGGCTTTGTTTTTTTTTTTTTTTTTTTACTGACTTCTAGAATGAAGGAAATCCTTATCCATATACATCACTCAACTAATACCTATCACAGTGTTGACAGACAAGTTGGCCTAGTTGCTTAACATTTACCTAGTATGTCTGTCTGCCTCTTATCCTCTTCCAGGAAATTCAGAAATACTGACTCATCTGCCAGCTTATCAATAGTCTCAAGTCCAGCATCTCTGTAAGCAGTCCTCATCTGGAACACCAGGATCAGATGTCCAGAGTAGAGGAAATCTTGCTTTAACAGCAAGTGTGGTTAAAACGATATAAACAATGACGGACATGTGAGGGGGTATAATGTAAAGCAAAGACGGAAAACAGAATCCATGCTCCAATAGCGTGAAATTTGGGAAAGGAATGGAAACAAATGAGATTGGGAATAGAATCAATTTTGATAGCATGGTGGCTTGCAAAATCAATTCAGTGTTTTTATTTCCTGAGGTAGACTAGCCTGGTCCTGATCCTGTTGTGTAGTCAAGGATGCGTGTAGTCAAGGATGCGCTTGAACCCTCTGATCCTCCTGCCTGTACTCTTGTCACTCAAGTGCTGGGATTACAGGTCTGTATCACAGTGCATGGTTTAGTTTAGTGGTTTTCAAGCAGGAGCTTTATTTAAAAATGGCATTCCATAGAATAAAAAATATAGAATGCATAACATAGATTGAAGTACTTTTTTGAAACATAAAAACATACGTGAATATATGTATTTACGTATTTAACTATTGTATATTAAAAATGCATGTGTAACGAGCAGTACATACACACCAGCCTCAGGATGTTGTTTTTTATTTTTATTTTGTGTGTATGAGTGCTATGCCTGCATGTATGTAAACGCACCCGTGTCATGCAGTGCCGGCGGAGGACAAAGGAGGGCATGGAATCCCCTGGAACTGGAGTTACTGCCAGTTACCACCCGCCACCTCGGTGCTGGGATTTGAACCTGGGTCTTCGGCAAGAATAGCCAATGCTCTTAACCGCTGAGCCATCTGTCTAGCCCCTCAGGGGTTTTAAAAACTGTTTCTCACTCTGAGTCCGGCCCAAAGTTTGAAATCCTGTAGAACACAGGCCTTCAAAGGATCTAAGCAAGGTAAACTCAAGGTCAAGTGAAAATCCCATTTCTCTCCCCAGTTAATAAAGAGAGCGGAAATGGCGTGTAGGGGAGGGGCACTCTAGTGAAGTCAAGCGAGGAGCAAGGGTGCTTCAGGACAGGGAGGTGGTGGGTGCCTTCTGCCGGGTTAGTTAAAACTGAGGAACTTGGAGAGACTGATTTCGTATATTTTCTTTAAATGCTAAACCGAAAGAGCTTCCTCGTTCCTGGTCCCTGAAAAGCCTACAGAGGTGAGGGATTCACGCGGCTTCTTCGGTTTCTACCACACAGGGTGGATTCGAGTAGAAGAGCTTAGACCTATTAACGGTGCTAGAGCGCGGGAGGTGGGCGGGGCGTTGGAAGCGCGGGAAGGCCAGGCCGGGGTCATCCACCCCGCGACCAAGTTCGTGCTCTGCACAGCCTAAGACAAGGAACAGAGTACTACAGTTCAGGTCGCATCCCGAATCCCAAGCCCGAGACGCGGGTGGCGAGGTGGGTTCTTTTCCAGGGCTCACGGTGCTCCCGGCCAATGGGCAGCCCCGCCTCCGCCCTCCACCCTGCACCAGCGGGGCAAAAGGGAGTCGATTTCCCGGCCCCCTACCACGTGACCCGCCGGCGGGCCTCCGCCGCGCCCAGGCCCCGCCCCCGTGACGTCTCAGCGCCCTTGGACTGTCAGAACACCCGGCCTCTTTCCGCCCTCTCTCATTGGCCCGCTGGGCAGACAGCGCCCCCCCTCTTGCCACGCCCCCCGAAGCTCGGGAGAACGCAGTCCTGGGCGGGGCCTGGGCCGGGGGGCGGGGCGACGCGGCCCGGCGCGGGTAAAGGGGCTGTTCCCTAGCCGCGCGAGCCTTCAGCAGAAGCGCGCCGCTTCGCCTGGAGCTCTTGCCGCCCAGCTCTCCGCTGCTCGCCGCGGTCACCCGGGAGACTGACCGCGCCAGTTCGCCGACCCGAAGCGCATTTCCATGGCAGCCGCGAAGAAAGCAGTTTTGGGGCCATTGGTGGGGGCAGTGGACCAGGGTACCAGCTCTACACGTTTCTTGGTGAGCCCTGGGGTGACATCTCCTGAGCAGCTGAACAGGGACGGGAGCCCGGGGACGGAAAGGCGGAGGGTTGCGTCCTTAGCCCGCGCCTCTTGGGTCTCCTGGGCCCTCCCTGGTCACTGGGGCCAGGAAGGGAGGTCAAAGAGGGGATCTGCTCCACTGGGATTGCTTTGCCGGGGCCTGGGGGATCTCGGCCTGCCAGGACCCCCTGCAGCAGAGTGGAACAGTCGCAGCCTTGGTGTTGGAGCCAGGTCACATACCAGTGGGGGGATTTTCTCCCCAAAGAGAGTGAGTATCCTCGGAGCATCCACGCAGAGAAACCCGCGTGCAGCAGGGGACAGGTGGTCACACTGATGACTGCAGCGGTCTTCCCCCGGAGCATTTGGCCTGCTAGGCGCAGGACGTCCTTGGATGGAGGGAAAGCTGTGTCACGGCTGTGGTAACCCAGCACAGCGTCCTTTCGAACAGTAGAACGAATAAAGTATTAGCGTGATGGTGCATTGTCATCCTCTCCCACAGAAATTGCAGAAGGTAGAATGCTGAGGGGGTGGCAGAAGAAATTAGGAAGCAGACATACTCCACTGTTTTTGCCAGATCATTATTTAATCTCAAAGATACTAATTCCAGTTCTGATACTTTGCCTATTACCAACAAATATTGCCCACTGCTTTGCTGTCTAATGTGACAATAATTCTTTTTCTTTTTATTCAAGTATGCATGATTGTAGAGGTTTACTGTAAAGGGGTGTTGTTTAAATAACTCTCTGCTGATTAGTTTTGCACAATTAGGAAACTTTATTTTTGTTTTTGAGGCGTGGATCTACCTATGTACCCCAGAGTAGCCTCGAACTCGTGATTCTCCTGCCTCAACCTGGCAAGTGATGTGATTACAGGTATGAGCCAGTGCTCCCAGCTAGGAAACTTGCTCTTAAAGTGGCCTGGCATTGAGGTCAATAAGATCATTTAAAAGTAATTTAAGTGAATGGAGTGCTGGTAAAAGCCCATGCTTTGATGGATAGTTGATGAATTTGACAAGTAAATATTTAGTGATTATTTAGCGCCCTCTTTATTTCCTTACCTAACATAATTTTTCCTGCATTATTTATTTTGTGGAGCTGGGGCTTGAGGCCAGGGCCCCCAGCATGCTAGGCAGGCACTTGACTACTGAGCTATACCCATAACCCTTCCTGTATTATTCAGTATGCTTGCATGCATATTATATGTATGAGTGTGTGTGTGTATCTGTGTGTGTGTTCTGGGGGAGGGGAGAGAGAGAGAGTTCATTTTTAGCATTTGACTAAAACTTGCATTTCTGATGTGATCATGACAACCCTTTTTCTAAACTGAGAAACTTTCAGTCCACTTTCAATTTGAGTCTTAGTGATTTAACTCTGATTTGAGTAGCCCAGTCATCTGCATTTTTAAAAATCTCTTGAACAGCCAAGAAAGAGTTTCATTTTGTCTTATATTCATATAAATGTTTATAAAGTAATCCTGAATCATAAAAATAAATCTACTTAACTGGATTTCATTAATATATGAACTACATAATCATTACCATTTTCCTAGCTTAAGAAAGACCATTAAGATACGTGAACTAAATAACTGAGCTGATTTTTTTTTTTTTTGAGATAGGGTCTTGCTTTGTAGCCTAGGCTTGCCATAAATTTTGTATCAGAGGCTGGGCAGAAATGTAAAAATTCACATGCCTCAGCCTTTTAAGTGCTGTGATTATGGGCAGAATCTACCATGACCAGCCAAGTAGACTGAATTTTTATTTTCTTAGTTTATATTATTACTTTGAGACAAGGTCTTACCATGTGACTCTGGCTGGCCTCTAACTTCCTACGTAGATTGGGCTGGCCTCAGAGAGATCTGTCTGTCTACCCCCAGAGTACTGGGACTAAAGGCGTGCACTACCTCATCTGCCTCTGAATTTTAAAGTCATGTTGGGGAATGGTTTCTCTAGGGGCCAGCTGGATGGTATAGAGGGTAAAGGTGCTTGCTGCCAAGCCTAATGACCTGAGTTTGAGTCCCAGGGCTCACATGGTAGAAAGAGAGAGCTGGGTTCTCCACATGTGCACCTGGCACTCAAGTGCCCCTTTCTTAAAGAAAGAAATGTAATAAAAATTCTTTTTTAAACTGTCACACTAGTAGCTGCAGGGGCCAGCATACTGGAAATAGTGTATCAGACCAATGGACAGCTATAGCTGCTAACCAGGAAGGAATACAAACCCAGGGATGTCAGATCTTCATCTTTTTTCTTTTCTTTACCTTTTTTTTTTTTGAGACAGACTGTTCCTGTAGTCCCAGCTGACCTGGAACTTACAAGTAGACCAGGCTGGCCTCTGTCTCACAGAGGTCCTTCTACCTCTGCCTCCCGAGCACTGGGACTAATAGTATATACCACCATGCCTGGCTTAGAGCTTCTAATTCTTTTTTTAAAAAATATTTTATGTATTATTTAAAAAGAATTTTGTGTATGTTATACCTGCATGTATGTAAGTGCACCTGTGTTGTGCAATACCTGAGGAAATCAGAAGAGGGTGTTGGATCCCCTGGAACTGGAGTTACAGATGGTTGTTAACTGCCATGTGGGTGCTGGTAATTGAACCCCGGACTTCTGCAAGAGCAATCAGTGCTCTTAACCACCGAGCCATCTTTTGAGCCCCAGATCTTCCAATTCTTTAAGAAAAACTGGTAGTTTAGAGTTTTCAGTGAAATAATCCAGATGTTTTTCTTCTTTTCCCAGTTCTTAAGTGATAGCAACTACTGACTCATAACCCATTGAGGGAGATAAACCAAGCATGATAACTATTATCAAGTCTGTATAGCATTTGCCCTTATGAATGTGAGTAAAATATTTTATAGCAGTTGAGGTTTGCTTCTTAGGAGCCAGCCTGAATGAACTTGCCTTCTTTTGGGCTCTTCATTATTGCTACCTATATATGCCAAGCAGAGTTCTTTATTCATTGCAGGGAGTCTCTTACCTTTCATGTTTCATTATCTAAAGACAATTTTTACATTGATAGAGAAGGAAGTTTTCAAGTTCTAATGCTATACTCTTTTGTCACTGTCATGTGGACAATGGTAACTTCCAGAAATTAGGTTGAAAAGCTGGCCATGGTACCTTATGCATGTATTCACAACACCTGGGAGATAGAGACAAAAGGATCAGGAGTTAACAGTCCTCCTCCATTAGGTATGCTAGAAACTATCCTGAGATCTAATCTCAAAAAGAATCAAACCAGGGGCTGGAGGGATGGCTCAGCAGTTAAGAGCACGGGCTGCTCTTTCATCAGACTCAGGATCAGTTCCCAGCACCTGCATGGCAGCTAATAACCACCCTTAACTCCAGTTCCAGGGGACCCAATGCCTTCTTATGGCCTCTGCGGGCATTTCACACATGTGGTGCAGTTATATACATGTAGGCAGTACACTCATACACATAAAAAAAAGCAAACAAACAAAAATTAGATTCCAGATTAGGGATGTAGCTCATTCGTAGAACACCTACCTAGCATGTATAAGGCCCTGGATTAGATACCTAGCACTGAAAACAATACTGAGTTTCAGTTATTGGCTATCAGTGAATAAAGTTCACTTTCAAAAGATTCTGACCCTGCTTAGAAAATAATGTATCAAATTTAATCAAAAGGCTGGAGAGATGGTTCAGTGTTTAAGAGCACTGGCTGCTTCTACAGAGGACCTGGCTTCAGGTCCTAGCACCTACATGGCAGCTAACTCCATGTAACTCCAGTTCCAGGGGATCTAATGCCCCTTTCTGACCTCCAGGCATTGCACATAAATGGTGTACTTACATACATGCAGACAAAATACTCATACACATAAAATTGATGAAAAGTCTGAAATGGTGGTACATACTTGTAATCTCAGCACTTGGAAGGCAGAGGTGGGAGGATTGATGAGAGTTCAAGACTAGCCTTTGCTATTCAGTTCCAGGCCAGCTTTAGCTACATAGTGAGACAATAATTCAACCCCAACCCCAAATAAGTAAAAATAAAAGTTGACCAAAAATGTTTATTCCTTAAACAACTAAGAAATGATGCTTCAAAGGCCAAGTGGGAAGTGGAGAAAAACTTGAGAAACGTTTAGCAAAGTGATGTTTCCTTTGGTTGTAAACCACTCCCTGGGAAATGCAGATAGTGGATTTGCTGAAGAAGTAGTTTAATCACAAGGTAGATTGCTGGTTGTTCCACGTTTAATGATGACTCAAAAATAATTGCTTTCCTTCTCAGGAAAAGGATACTGTATATAGAAACTGTCATGAGGAAGCTTATACATTAAAAGGTATTCACATGATCTCCTAAACATTATTAATTCAGTTTGAATATTTAATTTAAGGTATAGGAGGCCAATAACTTTTCCAAGCTTTCTTCTTCCCTTTTTTCTGTTAGTAATATTAGCTTTCCTCCCGTAAAGAGAAAAGGCTTTATTTCTGGTCTTTCGTCCAAGGGGATCGCCTCTTCTTCCATGCTCCATCTATGTTCCTTATGCTTTCATTCTACTTCTAAGTAGTAGTTAGTTCATCTACCATATCTTTGTAGTTTTCCTCAAACCCCTAGTCAGAAAATCTCCTTCTTTCTAAGCGCTTATTTGTTTCCTTATTTTTCATTTTTGTGGTGCTGATGATCAAATGTAGGGCCTCACATGTTAGGCAAACATTTTACTACTGAACTTGACTTGAACCCCACCACTGTATAGTTCTTTTTATAGCAGTGTTCATAGCTCTTAACCCCTTCACCTTGTATTATACACCTGCTAAAGCTGAAAGAAGGGGCCACCTGTTAACCTTTGTTCATCTTTGCATGCCTTAAAAAATCTTGATCAACGTGACAAATTAGTTTATGTTTTATTTACAGAGATCAATTTATTGAATAAATATTTTTTCTTCTTTTTTATGAAACAATCAGGTAGGCCTTGATTCACTGTATGGCTGGAGATGACCTTGAATATCTGATCCTCCTCTGCTTCCCAAAT